ATGGCCTGAACTGTTGATACAAGGCAGAATGGATACATGCTTTCATGTTGTTTACACCACCCTCTGACCCAACCACCTGAATGTTGCAGCAGAAGTCGAGACTCATCAGATCAGGCAATGTTTTTTTCAGTTTTCTCTTGTCCAATTTTGGTGAAGTTGTGTGAATTGTAGCCTCAGTTCCCTTCTACTCTAGCCCATCTACCTTAAGGTTTGATATATTGTATGTTCAGAGGTACTGTTCTGAGCAAGAACATGCCAGTAGATCAGCAGTTTCTGAAATATTCAAACCAGCATCGTTGGCACCAACACTAGTGCTACATTCAAAGTTACTTACCGTAAGTCACCTTTCTTCCCCATTTTGACACTCAGTTCGACCTTCAGCAGGCTGTCTTGAATATGCCTAGATGCACTGAGTTCCTGCCATGTGATTAGCTGATTATAAGTTTGTGTTACACAGGAGTTGTGCAGGTGATAAGTAAGTAAATAATTAGGTTGCCGGAGAGTGTCGAATAAAAAGTAGTGGCCCGAGAATCGAACCCTGTGGGACTCCACATGTCCCAGTTACATTCTGATCTGTGATGTGATGCTTGCTCATAGACAGTCATCTGATTGCTGGGATTTTTCTATGTTATTGCTTTTTTTTTTTTCAATTATATTTTTATTAAAGAAAAAAAAGGACTTGTTACAATAAAGTGCATTGACATTATTTAGTCCAAAAAAAAAAAGAAAAAAAACTTTTTTCTATTGTTTTACATTCTGATAGCAAAAAAATAATAAAATAAACTCGTTGACTTGACAGTGTGTTACATAATGCAGCATGTTTAACTTATTTACAAAGACTACATTAGGTACATATTATGAAGTTGACGGTCAACCTGACATTGTACGGTACATGGGAGATACACCAAGTCAGGGCTGGTCTTACCTAAATTCAGGGCAGATGGGGGACACAAAGCTAATCCATTTATTCCATATTTTGTAGAATTTGTCTTTTCGAATTTTTAAAAAGAATGTAAATTTTTCCATTTTAAATATTTCGAAAACTACATTAAACCAATCCTCAAGTGTTGGCAGAGTTGGATTTAACCACTTTCTGGTTATTGATTTTTTGCTGGCCGCTAATAGCGCTTGTAAGAGTTTTGTGTCCCCTTCCCGGACCGAGCCAGCAACCAAGCCCAAGTACAAATTTACAAAATTGATGTCAAATTTTATCTTAAAAACCTCACAGTTCTCAGAATTCTATATTATTGCAGGCTCTTGACCTTGGAACATAAAGCACATTATGGCAACTGTTGCTGTCATTTGATTCTATAGCAATAAAACTGAATTGAATTGAAATTGATATAAATCAGATTTTTTTAAAATATAAATGGCTACAATGTATCTCATACCTGAAAGATGTGCTCTGAGGATTAAACCAGAAAACACCTCATTTACAACTCTGCCAAAAATTATTTTATTATCCATAGTATCAAATGCTGCACTTAGATAAAGCATTACTATAATTTATGTTTTGTCAAAATGAGAATAGGGCAGTAGCTTTTAACACCTTTTAATAGAGTGACCTCCGTGATTACGGCTGAAGCCAGAGCAAAAGATTTGTCCAAAAAAGACCCACTGTGTATTCAAAACGTTCAAGTTAAGTCTCTTTGTATTGCTGCTATGGAACAATGAGCTATCTAGATGATGACTGGATATACATACACATTTATGGACACCTTTTATGAAGCTCAAGACCAAATATATGTTGCACGTAACACTTGTTACTAACCAGCAGAAAACATTCATAAATTGAGAAGCGGTGCAGTCTCTCTCTCTCTCGTGTCACGGCTGCATCTGTTGTGCGGCGCAAATTAAACATTTCTATCTTTGCCAAAAGTTCTGGCTAAAAATTACCTTTCCTGTGTTTCCACAGAAATACAGATGGTGGGAACAGTGGAGATGGCAGAAGTGTCAGTGTGAGACTGTAACAGAATTGGAGATTTTCTCTTTTCTTTCACATAAATTGTCATCTCTCTACTTTTTGCAGCGAGAAAACTATAACTGCAGGCAGATCCATCGGATAATTAAAGTTATTTAATATGAGTGAAAGAAGATTTCTGCGGTGGTAGAGATGTGGCATTAAAAATATTATAAACATCAGTGTTTAATGATAATTACCATCATTTCTTTCAGGTTTATTATGCATTTTTTTTTAAGCGTTTTCTTTTTTTCATGTTCAGTTGCTGAAAGCTCACATCTGCTCTCTTCTGGTTTATAAAACAGAATAATTTAAGCTTTTCTCGCATGGTAAATCTTCTCCGAATATCTAAAGATTTAAAACTCCATTGAGCAGATATCCCCTGTATACTCAGCTGTAATCTATGTTCATCTCTGTGAGCTTTAAGACACACTAACCAAGATCCACAAAGAGTAACTCAACTCATGTTTTGGATTCTTGTGACCAAAAAAAAAGACTTTTTTAAAAAAATCTTTGACTTATTCATATGTAATTATATCATTATTTTATTCACAAATTATACTGGATTCTACTTTTTCTGGAGTGAAACTCAAAAATAAACTCTCTTTGAATAATGTATAGGAGTCGGAAAGTGCACACGTAGGCAATTGTCGCAGGTCCCTCCATGAAAAATTCATATCAACATTTTATTTTCATTATGCCTCACACGCAAGCTGCTTGTCCTTTGTGTCATGTCCTTATATTCTAATCATGGAGCGACCACATTTGTGCATTCAGAGTCTGAGCATTTCTTATTAAGGCTTTGTTTGCACTGTGGAAATGTGGGGTTTCTACACATAACTGTATATTAATTAGGTCTATGTTCATTGCACTAGTAGAAATGAATACATTCCTACTTAACAGGCCTGTTGAGAGTCCTTTTATTCCAAGTACTCTGGCTTGCTTCCAGCGCTACACTCAGTTAAAACTATTGGTTCTTATGTATCATACAAAGTAACACAATACAAAGTAATAGAAGGCTTAACTACAACATTTTAAAGGACATACAGAGTGCCAATTCTTGAGGAATATAGAAAAGAAAAAACCCACCAGAACTCATCTGTGCTGATAACAGTTTATTGCTTTAACGAGTCTGTCTTTTTGCCCTTTATTAAGTGTAGTGAAGGTTTTTTTTATTCCTCAGAGTGCCAGTATTTTCTTTATCTACTCACATTTGATACTATCGGACACTTTATTAGGTACTGGGTTGGACCCCCTTCAGAGCTCTCTTAATTCTTCATGGCACAGATTCAAGAAACTCCTGGAAACATTCCTCAGAGATTTCGGTCCATGTTAAGATGATGGCATCACACAGTTGCTGCACATCCGTGATTTGAACCTCTTTTTCCACCACATCCTAAAGGTGCTCTATTGGATTGAGATCTGGTGACTGTGGAGGTCATTTGAGTACAGTGTCATGCACTTATAGTCATGGTCAAGAAAACAGTTTGGGATGAGCTCATGGTGTGTTATCCTGCTGGAAGCAGACATCAGAAGATGGTACACTGTGGTCATAAAGGGATGGGCATGGTCAGTACCAATACTCAGGTAAGCTGTGGTGTTTAAATGATGCTCAGTTTGTACTAATGGGCCCAAAGTGTGCCAAGAAACCCCCCCCCACACTAATATACCACCAGCATCCTGAAGTGTTGATACAAGCCAAGGTGGATTCATGCATTCTTGTTGTTTACACTGAACAACATGAACTCTATTTGAATATAAACGGTAAGTGGAATCAACTTGTATAGCACCTTTCTGCTTTCTAAGTCTCTTGCACTCAATCACACATTCTTACAGTGATTTAATCTATGCTTATATACATTTTCTTCTGCATTAAATGGCTATTTCCTTTTACAGTCATCTTGCCAGTACCTGAGAACAGTTAGTGCTTAATTTTTACATAATTATTGTTACACTGATGCCCTGCCATCTTTACATCCAACCATCCTCTAATGCATCCTCCCATGTATATTATTTACCTCTATTGTCCCCTGCGTCGGTTTGACCCAGCATTTTGCCGACTCCCTCTCGAGGCCTACGATGTACAGAGGTCACCATATGGCGTTAAAGGGGACAGTATTTAAAGACAAAAA